CCCCAAAACCCCAAAACCCCAAAACCCCGCCAATTAAAATTTGCATGAATAGCGAGTAAAAGTTTTAATCTGAATTAAAAGTGAATGAATATCGAATTGTACAACGAAGCATTTATATATAATAGCTTGAAGCTTAATCAATGTTGAGACTAGTTATGAGTTTGAAGGACGCTTCCAATCTTTTTAATGATAGATTGTCTGTTATTTGATTGATCTCTTTAGGAGTTCTATGTATATCTCACAATTTCTTAATTTCCCTTTATTTTCTAATTCTAAACAACATTATTTATCAATGAGGATTTAAACTTTAGCTTCTTCACAGATGTGGCCATCTCACGCTCTTACCTTTTGATAGCTTTCTGAACCTCATCACACTCTCTATTATCATTGGCTATTGCATCTTTCAGTCTATTTATCTCTTCTTTTTAGTCTTATAGGTTTTAAAATTCTTGATCCGACTAGAAATCATATTCATCAATATAGACATTCAACTTCTCAGCCAGATCATCTCTCTATTAAGAAACTTTAGCAATCTCATTATCTGACTCTCCTTGTATAGTTATTATCTTCTATCTGTATTTCAATATATCATTCATCAACTCCTAGATCTTACTCTGATTTTCATTGAACTTCTAAGTTTCTTTGTCAAATTTATGTTAGCTTTGGACTATCTGTTTATTCAAGGAAGTAATATCTTCTTTATTAAGTGATATCTTGTACTTTATCTCATTTTTTTGCTTTTCTATGTCTTTTTTCTTTTAAACTATAGTTGTTACTGCTATCAACTGTGCATCTACATAATCATCTAGTTTTACTTTGCTAAAATCCTTATTATTAATAGTTCCTGTAAGGGAAATTTTATTTTTGACCTTGAGGGTTTAGTCCAATCTCAAGGTTCTTAGATTGTGAGGAGTGAAGTTTTCACAGTCATCATCAACGTTCACATCAACTTCGGAATCATGGAAGAAGGTATTGCAACTCAATCTTGGAAAATCTCTTACTAAGCTATCAGCTGCATATGAAATTGATTATTAGCTACTTAACCCAGAACCCATAAGCTTTTTACGGTTAGGGGTGTTGTAAAGTGATATAGATTAAGGTGTAGGATTTTTGCTTTATTTTCTATTTGCACATTGATTTCTAGGCAGACCCTCATTGAATTACACGAACTCATCTGGCACTTGATCTATTGATGGATTTATGAAGATTTCACTTTGATTTGTTTGATGAATTAGATTCAAATTTTTATCTGAGCCTACGGAAGTTGATGTTCTTTTGCTTGATAAAAAGCTACTAAGAGTTGAGTCATTTTCAATTCTATGCAGTTATATTGTTTTAATGTTAAGACTCTTCAATGAATCAATATTATCCAGCATAAATTAATTACTCTATGGCATCAATTTTATTGGAAGGTTAGTTGAAAATACACTGCTTAAATTACTCTGCTTAGAGTTTGTGTTTCTTGACATCTTTGATTCGTTTGTCTTGGGGTTTGTTTGTTTAACATGATTATGTAAGGATTGATGATGATTGTGATTTTAGAACAATATTTTGAATGGTTGTTAATTAGCTTTGGGACTTTTCTTGAACGATTCAAAGTTTTCCTTGTTTGCTGAAGTTCTACTCTGATAAATTGATGAATTTTTAGTATTGAAAGACTGATGCTCACAAATTGATGTTGAATTACTCTCGCTGTCAATCTCTAATAACTCATGAGCTTGCTACTTTTAGATTGAATATTGCTAGTTCATATGCATTAAAGAACTTTTTTGATTATTAGAGTTATATTTCTAGCTGCCATGGGGATCTTCAACTTATCTAGATCTCGTATTATTCTGCTGTAATATCTTTGGCGAAAGTACTGATGAAGTATTGATCGAAATTGATTTTGGAGTTTTCTACATTTTAAATCTGCGTTAACAATTAAATCTAACGTATTATTTTATATACAAACTCTTAATCTCATCCTCACTTTAATGTGATAAACTGGGGTTTTGGGGTTTTGGGGTTTTGGGG